GTTTTGTTCCCATAGTCTAATACCCTTCCTTCATGTGACGTTTTCAAAGAAAAAGAGTACGCTTAAGAATGAGGAGAAGCATCTTGTGAGTTTTTTGTGACTGACATTTTCAAATCATTCTAAGATGCATGAATTGGATTGCTTTCTTTTTTCGCTTCCAAGCGGATGCCGATGCCCTTTGAGTATATTTTTAGTGTAGTATGGAATTTAGCATGACTAAACTAATGCGATAGGTCTCAAGAAGGAAAGAAAGAAACCAGGAAGATCGAAGAAGAAAAGGCCTAGGAAGGAACTAAATCTAAAAATAAAAGTTAAAAACAAGTGATATATGAGGTACGTTCAGGGCTTGCAATTACAACAATGTGTATCGACCTGGTTGGTGTTCAATATATTCGTAAGATTCACTACTTTGGAAGGAAAATACAAGATGCTCGATCGGCACTAGCTGTCGTTGGTGGAAAGGTAATTAACGATAAAGCAAAACATCATTAATTGGAATGCAGAAAGTTCGAATATAATTTTAAGAGCTTTTATTTAATAAGCTCTTTTCTTTTCAGGTCGTTCTAGTATCAGAATTGTACGCGAATCTTATGCAAAAGAGAGCGCGAAATCTCTCGAAGGAGGCTTTCATAATAGAGAATTTGTACATATCGAAACACATAATCCCTTACATCCCCAGCGATATACGTTTGATAAGGTGAGTGTCAACTGGATTGAATAGAAGTCGATTTAATCAAAAGTGCTTTCCAGGTACATTGACCAACATGCCGAAGGTTCCATTTCAACGTCGTCATCATCGCTCGACTTGCAGAGTTGCAGATTCTGCCATTCGCGATTCAGTTTCAATTTGCAACAAAATCGACCTCTTGGAGAGCACTAACGTCAAATTGCCTCAAATCCCATTGCCGTTGGTTGTGAACGCTCACTTGTGTTGTTTTTTCTTGACTTTATCTTGAATAGCCTCTCTAGCAGCCACTGCCTATTGAGATACTGTAGATATAATTCTATGTATTTTAGAAATCTTAAACTAAATACCACAAAATACCACCTACATTCGCCTTCCGTTCTT